CTTTCTTTCGCCAGGGCTAGGGTGGGAGGGCCAGGCCCCCTCCACCGCGCGCGTTAAGCGCCCCCGACTTGTGGGGGACGAGTAGTGCATCACTCATGTGCTCCACACGGCTGCAAGGTCTCAGGCCTTTAGAAAACTATAAACACAGAAGGCATAGAGGAACCCCAATGATAAAACGTGGCAGAACCCGTAAGACCGGAAGGAGGCCCTGGATATGCAAGCAGCGTTGGGGTGTTTCCCCAGCGGGAGATCCTGTAGTCCCCTAGCATGTTGGCCGTCAAATGCACTTTTTGGTTCGAGAGAACCATGCTGGGCTTGACAAGGGTAGCAACACAGAACGAGACGAAAGCAGGAGAGCAGCAGTAGTGTCACGAGACTCTCTGTCTCTTTGTCTCTCTCTCCTTCTCTCTGTTTCTCTGTGGCCGGATGCTGGCATGCACCTTTGATCGGCAATCTCTGTGCATCGGCTTGCTGCTGGCCGGTATTCACAAAGTGGGTTGATGCGTGTAAGTTTTGCGCATGATGCTGCTTGATGCATTTGACGACAGTGGGACATGAAATGACTGACAGCACAAGGGGACTTGCTTGTAAGGGAATACAGATATGTTAGCAGCCAGCATTGTGAATCAGTGCTCTGCGAAGTTTGCCGTGTTTGTTATTGCATTCTTTGCGGTCCTTGCACGATGTTCACTTTGCCTCGGTGAGTTTGAGAAAAAGTGCAACAGGTGGCCGGGTTGATTCGTTGCCGAGTGTACTCCAATGTTCTTATGCAAGCTGCGTTGCGCATGCCTCGTAACTGACTCGTGACTCATCCTTGAAATTTGAGTATTGGATGCTTGCGAGTGTGTGCAGGTTCCTAAGGCTTTTTCCAAAGGAAGTGCGCCAGCTCGCATACTTGTTTCAGAAAGCCCGGCTCTGGAACACCCGAAGACCAGAACGCTTCAACCCGAAAACTGACTTTGAAGCCTCAAGTCACAACCTGAAATCGCAACTCAGCATCCACAATATCTAAACCTCCCAACCGTGAATCTTAAAATGTAGACCCGCAATTGCTCGCACCCAGACCCTCGTTGATTCTCAATGTGGCGAAAACACTTCACATTGGACGGTCTGTTTTCGACAATGCACGCTTGCGGGGTACATCGGTGCGACAGGACCTTTATTTAGTTCGTGCAAGTTACCGAAAGGGAGAACTGGTGGTCGGTCAACATGAAGCACGTGCAATCGAGAAGCATGCCATGATTTCTGGTTGTTTCCCTGGAACAGGGGCTATGAGTTCGAGGCTGTTGTGAAGTGGTTTGCGGAACGTGTGGTGTGCACCTCAGACGCTCTCGGCCTTCAACTGTGGTACTGGTGTCTGCTGCGACCTACTGGGCGTCCTGTTCACGTGTTTGAACTGTCAGTCTTTATCGGTTGTTTTCTCGCTTTGGTCGAGTGTTTGCTTCAATGCTTGTTTTAACTTGACTAGGCCCTTTTTCCTGGATATTGAGCTATGCTTTTGTTTATGGATGTTACTTCCCAGCATGCACACATTTTTTGTGGCGGGTAGGTGCTCATTGTGGTGCTCACACTATCAGACAGTGCAACCAGAACGCTCACGAGGATAATTAAAACTGAGGATGATGATGATGGTGATGATGAAGATGCGAGGAGGCGGAGAAGGCAGAGGAGCAGGAGCAGGAGCAGGAGCAGGCGCAGGGGGAGAAGGACGAGGCGGAGGAGGAGGAGGCGCTGGAGAAGCATGACTGAGTATGGTGTTCTTTGTTGATGATGATTGCAATCGTGATGTTGGTTGATGCAGACGGCGAGGATACTGTGTTTATCCAGACGAGCGCTGCTGATGATGTTGCTGCTACTGTACCGATCGTAGTAGTGGTGGCTTTCGTGAGGGCCAAGAGACGGTAAGATTTGATGTGAAAACGAGTTTGCTTAGGTGCAAAGCTGGAAACCCATTTGTGCGAGCTTCGTTATCCAATGCCTTCAATATTCCTTCAATCGCGTCTTCGATTGAGGGTGACCTTAACCAAGACAAAGGTTAATGTTGATTGTCCCAGAAACTCCAAGCGCTCCCCTGGAGTTAGTATTCTCAACGTACCTTTTCTGCTAAGGACATGATCTTGCTATTGTTCGACGTGTCGAAGCTAGACATCAGTGATGAATTCAGGAGAGCTTTTGCATCACTCTAGTCGGTAGCAAAATGCATTCGGAGCAAAAGGGCTTGATCCGAATCGGTGGAGGAGAGTCATTCAGGCCACCAGAGGCAACGATCATAAGATCTGCATCTTGCTGAACAAGGCGGACAACGTCACAACACAGCAACTCATGCGAGTTTATGGCGCCGGGCTCTCAGTCTCACAGACACCCCGCCCCACTCGACATCCACCAGAGCCCAGAGCCCCAGACTCTGCCCGGGCCAGGAGAAGCTTAGAGACTGATTATTCCATATTATTCCCATCGCCCAGTCCACGCACCTCCCTCTGTGGCACCCATCTTCATTCTCCCGGCAGACAGATAAGTCTCAGATCAGTTCTGTTTTCGAGAACATAGAGGCCTTGTGCCATAGCTTCGGGGTCGCCAAAGGTGGAATTTCACTCTTGAACGAGAAAGGCGCTGATGTGGTCACTGGGTAAAGTATTGGACACTCCAGAAGTTGCCCGTGTCTATGTCGGATGCTTGGTCGGATTGGATCCACTTTCTGCAGTGTCTGGCCAGGCTTTCAGCCTCGCCTGTGCTGAATGCAGTTCTGCCAGTTGCATGAGGAACATTTTGGGATCAGCCGCTGAAGAATGAGAAGCTTCGGGAGTTGTTCGAACAGGAGGACAGGAGGACATTGTAAAATGATTCCCGAAGGAGTATTGCCAAATGCAGGAGAATGACCTGTACACCAAGATTGCCCAGCTTCCAAGGAGTGCATCACTCCGGAAAGTCAATGTGCGGGCCTCTGTGGTGAAGGAAGTATCGACCTCTGTGCCAAATTGTGTTCTTGTTTTCAGCGGCTTGAGCCATCGCTTCCTCGTGAGCTGATCTTGTCCGCACCAACTCAGGATCTGATAAAAAGAGCTCGGTTGGCCAAAGTTCATGCGCTGCTGCTAGACGCCGACTCAGCACGCCTTCACGTCCTGTGCGATGCGGTTTTGCCCCGTTGTTTATTTCAGGACTACTTCTACAAGAGGATGCCGACATTTTTTGGACATGCAAAAGAGCAGGAAAGGATGATACAAGAGTTGCCAAGCATCTATCAGGAGGCCATGTCGGCAACTTTGCTGTCGTTGTTGGCCGGTCTTTGTACTCTCGCCTTTTTTTGGTCTGGGTGCTCTGGGACACTGGGTTCTCTTCCGCAGTGGTGCAACCCAACCCACGGTGGAAGATGCTTGAAGAACAACACCGAGGGTCGATCAAAGAGAAGACGCACACTGTCCCAGTCTCCAGCTGTCCAGTGCTTGGCGTGCCCCGCGCGATGCCAGAGCTGCAAATCGCAAGTCACCAGGTGGATTGGACTCGCCGCTTAGTCTTTCGAACCCCCCAAGGGAGGGGAGGGGAGGGAGGGAGGGAGGGGAGGGTAAAGACTGTGAAGTCGCCGGGTTGCTTTTTGTCCCCTTGAGGTGTTGCTGCAAGCACTGCAAGCTGTCCGGTGGAAACACAGTTTGGATGATGCTGCACCTGTCATGTGCCACTTGTGAGTCTGAGAGGTGGCAGAGCGAGCTAGAGCAGCAAGAGAAGTAGTCCAACTGGTCGATGTAGGCGTGTTCCGTAAGTAGCTGAAGTGGCAGTATTACAGACACCTCCTAGTGCATCTGTGCGTGCATTGTGGCCAGCTTGTGCGCTGCGGAAGCAACAATCAGCAGCGGCGATCAATATCCAAGCCAAGCCAACCTTTGTTAATAGGGGTTTTGGATTTGGTATCCAAGCTGGCCAGTTTGCGCTGCAAAGATCTGCAAAGCATGTTACAGTCGTTACAGCACGCTTACCTCCTGCCTGCAGATCTCTGTGCAAAAGGGTATTCCCTTGGGGGACTTCCCAGATCCTCGAATGATGCAGGTCGGATCATGTTGCAGTCCTTGTATCTTGATCCCAGTGATGCGCTTGGCTGTACAAGCTTGCCCCTGCAGCAAATCCTCACCCCGATGGATTTCTCCACGTTCAAGCCAGTGGACCCGGAGAAGTTGCAGGCACAGCTACAAGGTGGTCTGCAATCCCTTTTTTCCTTGGGCGACGTGTTTTTTTTCCCAGGCAGTGGAGGCCCTGCTAGCCGTGGACTTGCCAAAGCTGCTGCAATTGATTCCTGAGGACGCTCGACGGACGCGATTTATCCAGACTTCATGAAAGGGTCCGTCTTCATGGAAGTTGACCACATCGATTTGAAACTGCCTGCTTTGGCCCACCGGCAGGGCTGGCATGGCAGTGGCTGACATGAGGTTTGAAACAATGCATGTCCAGTCGGATGCGTACGCCAGCCGCAGCGCTTGATGCGCAGAACCGCTCCCGTACATGTACTGAATCGCTCACCGTGACACGTTCTGGGGATGTCGCATTGAGAGCATGGCATTCATTGGTATGATTGATGGGGCATGCCGGGGTGCATCTGTCTCCAGATCGCCTGAAAAGGGTGCGATGTCGAGGGTACAGGTGTGTTTTGTTTTGCCTTGGATTCATCAGTTCGTGAGATCGAACGATAGCGGCTGCTGTGAAGTCGCGGTTGTCCTTTGCATCATGGTTACCATCGGGTTCCGCAGATTCGTCTGTAGAACGGCTTCAGTTTTTGATTGTCATGTGCTTCCCGTGAAGGTCTCACCAAGCAAGCACCCCGGCTTTTCGCCTCTGTGTGGGCCCTTCGCGGTAGTGCTTTGATCAGATTTGGCTGCATGGGACCATGAGGTTGGTTTCCTTCTCGTTGTCACAGGTTCCTCGTGATATGAAGCAGCAAGTCTGGGTTGGTGTGACGGGTGCCTGTGGGGTTGATTGCAATGTCAGGAGCATTTTTCTGCGTTTTTATGGATGTTGCGGGCGGTGTCCTGGCATCGCTCGACGGTCCACTGTGCGATGTACTTTGTCGACCAGTTTTTAGGCCTCTGGCTGGAGATGACCTGAGCGGGTGTCTCAAGTTTTCGCATCGGCGCAGGAGCAGGTTCGGTATGGCATTGAGGAGGCAGCTGTGGCCCAGGACACCGGGTGGCATGTGGGTTCAAGCACACACACATGTAGCATGGTGGTGCTGGTCATTGATCAGATTGTTGGCATGGCCTCGCCCTTCGCCGTGATGAAAGTGGAGGGCAATACCGAGCAGTCTGTGTACAAGGTTCGAAGAGTGTTCGCACTGCAAACAGACCAGCGCTTGACCCACAAGCTGCTCAGGGCCAGTGGCAACGACCGCCCACAGTTGAGCAGTTCCAGGTGGGCTGCGCAGCCCGGTTGTGAGCGTTTTCTGGATTTTTGCATGCACTTCCGGCAAAGTATATTGTCACACAGCTCGTGGCTTCCCACCGTCCGGTTCACCTTCAAGAGAGGGGTCTCGCCTGGACAGGTCACAGAGTAAGCCGTAGAGCGTAGCAAAGGCTTGAAGTCACATCAAAATGGTGGATTCCACGAAAAAAAGCCTCGTGGACGTTGGATTAATGCTGCTCTGCCTAGAAGTTCAAGCCCAAGATGTCAGATGTCAGAGTTTGTCGACACTGAATTCCTGCTTCATCATCGTTTCTCTCTCCTTCATACCTGCAACATGTCGACCTCCGCCCAGCATCTAGGAGATCCACGGCAGATGCAGTGTGTTCAGGCTGACTTTGATGGACTGCATCCCGTGGATGGAAAAATCAATGCTCAGCAAGCCAAGCAGAAGATGGTAGAGGCGCCACGCGTTCACATCAGGTCACTCTGACCAAAGCTGTGACCTGACAGAGCCACCTGCCCTCGAATGTGCTGCATCGAATCTGGTCCCTCGCCGACGTTGACAAGGCCCCCCCGGTGTTTCTCCATCGAGCGGACAGCTTTGACAAACCCTCCCAACGGTTGTAATGTTAAATCTTGCGAACTACATTTTTCTGTCTCACATGCCTATCAGTGCCAACTCGCCAGCTCACTGCTCACAATAAACTCACACGTGTGTGACTGGTTGATTGTGGTGTAAGTGTAACACATGTAATGTGTGAAAGGACAAGCCCGGCGTATTCGATGCACATGCCACAGCTGTTGCTAGCTTTGCGTTGCCCGATGTTTCTGTGTCCGGTAGATTTCCTCTCGTCGCGATGGCGGCTCATCATGACCGAGGTGATGGCGGCGATCGACACCCCTCCGGGCTGCCGTCGCTGCTGGAGAGGACGTGTCGTCGCTCTTCAGCGGATGGACCGGCCTGGAGCGCCAGGTCTTGGTGAGAGCCATCAATTCGTCGCCCGGCACTGTGGATGCGGCCGCGGCGATGACGACGAAGGAGAGATCAACCGGCGGGAGCCATCGGCGGATCTTCAGACGATGTCAGCAGCAGCCGGCGAAGCCGGGCTTGGTCATTGGCCCCTTGCGAAGACGATGCGGCGAAAGCCTATCGCTTGAGCATCATTTCGGCGGAGGACTTTTACCGGCAGTATCACTCGACACTGCCCAAGGTCATCGGTGGCCCGACGCCGGCGGCCCCTCCGCAGCCGATCCAGTCGAGGATCGAGAGGAAGCTGGCAGGGCTTCCCGCATTTGCCCCCTCGCCCGCCAAGGTCGGCGACACCGGTGGAGCGCCTCAGTCTCCAGTGTCGTCGAGTGGTGGTGATCCGTCGGGCCCTTTGCAGTCGAGCGCTGGCCAATTTCGGCTGAAGCCATTCGTCAGGTGGCGGCCGTCCCTCCGGCGCGGGGGCTACCGGTCGATACAGAACAACTTCGACTCGTCGGTCACATATACCAGGATTGCTTCCGCGGCGAGACGGTGGAACCGCTGATTCACTACAGCGGTCCTCGGGGAGTCCGCGCATGTCCGTGCCAGGCTCAAGGCGAGTTTCCCAGTCGACAGGCTGGCAAAGGCCTTTTCGAAGGAGCCGCCGGCGCTGTCCGAGCGTGGTCGCCTTTGGATCACGGTCCATGCCGTCGATGCACTGCTGGCGACGTGGTTCATGCTCCGGGAGATAGAGTTCGCCGTCGCTATACCCAGGATTTCCGACGGTGGCCGCCGGCGGCGAGTCGGAGATCGGCCTGCGGCATATCGGCCGACTCGAGGCGGCCGGTTTGTGGTTTCGAGACAGGTATTCCCCGACGGCATCGGGGCGACGTGGGAGTGCGGGAGAGAGGCTGAGTCCATGCTGCCGGTGAAACAGTGCAGCTCTGCGCAGAGCGCCTGGCCGGGGTGACCGGCGCCGCATGGCTGGCATCCAGGGGTTATCATTATCTAACTGCTGCCGGTGGTCGTCGGTGGAGGTCGGCGGCGCCTCTGGCCATCGCGCCAGAAGTTTCCAGGAGAATCACCCATAATGAGGTCGGCGGATCTGAGGCAGGCCGCGGCCTTTGACGGCATGGCGGGTTTCCTGCTGCTGGGCCCACAGACGAAACCGTCGAAAGCCCAGAGGCCGGCCAAGGAGCACATCATCCAGCAGGGTACTGGCGTCGATCCGTCGCGACGGGGTGGTGCTGCAGTCCACTCCGGCGAGGATCCGACCTGGCGCCACACACGGCCAAGCGACTGGCGGGACGACTGAACTTCGTGACACAGTCCACCTTCGGAGCCGTCTGAAAGGCAGCACTGCAGCCCATCTACATGCCAGGGCACATGATGCGGCTGCGACGTCCAACGCAGATTGTCGCTGGGACTCCGGGCGGCGCTGATGTCACTCCAGTCGCTGCATGTTGTCAACCATCCAGCCCAAGATGGTGCCCTACATCGACGACGGGGCGCCGGCGGCACTCATCTACGCCGACGCCTTCTACCAGCCCGGAGAGGTGCGCCGCAAGGCTGGCCACATCGCGGCGGAGGTGCAGGTCAATCCTGAGGCTGCGTCCCAGGTCTTCTACGACTGCGGCACGGCGCTGACGCCTGTGGAAAGCATCCGCGGCGCCGTGCAGCCCAGCTCGGGCGAAGGCGACGGACCCGGCGCGATGCGCTTCTGAACCCCTCAAAAAGAGGGTTTGTCAGTCGTACCATTTTGGTTAGCACGTCGGGTGTCGAGCTTGTCGTGTAACACATGTAACTAATGTGTGAAAGGACAACGCATTCGACGCACATGCCACAGCTGTTGCTGGTCTTCCCACTCCGGCCCAATTTTAATATGTCTCCAAAGACTCATGTGTCGAGCTTGTCGGACTGTTGATTTCGGCCACGGCCGTGCCACCTGGCAGAGGATGGCTTTTTGACCCTCGCGGAGTATGCCTTGGCGATGCACTTGGTGCATATGAAGCTGGATGGCCAGGAGAGTGGAGGGACGTTGTGCCAACCCAGCACGCATCACACTTTTCTTGTTCGACATGTGGCTTTGCTCTCGTGTCGCTTTTTGCAAACGCATTTGTTGTCTTGCACGTGCGATGGAAATCCTGCTCTAGCCTCTGAGGCTGATGGCTGACATGCGTTCTGTAAACTCCGGGGACACGGACGAGAAAATGAGCGCCGACCGACAAGTGGTGGTGAAACAACCTTCGGCACATGCCCGGGTTGCCACACCCGACGGATGTCGTTGGGTTGGGGAGAGCGCACTTGAATGGATCAGCTGGGCCACGCCATGCTTCTTTGAGCCTGGAAACCGAATGCACTCCACGAGAAACCCTGCCAAGTCGCGAGAAGTGGGATGGTCTTCTCCTCCGGGCTGCTCATCTGTTCTTGTGCTATCTTATCTTCTATATCGACATTCGCATGGGCTACTTCTACTGCTACTGCTACTGCTACTATCTGCTACTATCTGCTACTGCTACTATCTGCTACTGCTACTGCTGCTCCTGCTCCTGCTACTGCTACTGCTACAGCTACTGCTACTGCTGCTGCTGCTGCTGCTGCTGCTGCTACTGCTACTGCTACTGCTACTGCTGCTGCTGCTGCTACCACTCCTGCTGCTCCTCCTGCTGCT